TCTAGAATCCCACGATTCTAAGGTCTGTCAACTCTAGAATTCTTGGTTCTAAGGTCTCTTCCAACTCTAGAATTCTACGAGCCTATGCTCCCTTCCCACTCTAGAATTCTGAGGTTCCTTCCCACTGTGCCCTTGCCCAGCGGCTCCTAGGCTACCTACGGGCCCCGGTGCCGGCCTCTCGGTTTCCCCTCTGCTCGCCTCTCCCAGCCCCCTCACCTTTCTGCACCTTGTCACACAGCAGATACAGTTCCTCTCCTCCCGTGCAGGGTCCACTCTCCTTATTGATACGGCAGATTCTCAGCTCTGATGTGTTTGTTGACTCTGGAGGGAGGAAAAAGGGGAGAGGCAGCTGATGAATTCAGCGACCAAGCATCTTTCCAGTACCTTTATCCAAGAAGAGGAAGAGAGACCCGGGCCCTTTCCTCAGAGAGACCATAGGCTGGATCCCTCCAGGGACCTCAGATTCACGCTACTAATTTCATTTAATTAATAACAGCTAGCACCTATATAGCACTTTAAGGTTAACAAAACAGTTTCCAAATACTGTCCCATTTGATCCTCGCAGCAATTCTAGGAGGTGGGTATTATTATTATCCACATTTTACGGTGGAGGAAACTGAGGCACAGAGCAGTTAAGTGATTTGTCCAGGGTCACACAGCTGGTAAGTATCGAGGCCAGATTTAAACTCAGGTCTTCCTGACTCCAAGCCCAGTATGCCATCCATTGCATCACTTAGCTGCCTTCTAATTAACTAATAATTCACTCTGCATCTGTTAAGTACCTCCTATAGCATATACAAGATGTCTTAGACCAAGTATGTCCTAGACCTCATAAAGGGGTTCAGAAGGTCGGGGCCTAGGGAGCCTAGCATGGGAAGAGAGATTAAGAGGTTTGATCAGGGAGAACTTATTGAGCCATCTGGGAACCCAAGCGATACCCCCAAAGTGAGACAAGAGCTTAGGGACAGAGGCATCTCCTCTGGGAACCAGTGCTATGAGGGTGGCCCAGAGAGCTTCCAAGAAGAGGACAGAGTTCCGACCTTCTGGGAGACAGGAAGAGAGGAAGTGTAGAGGGCTTCCTAGGCATGGGACTGCCTGCGACGGGAAAGAAAGACTTCAGTGTTTGTGGGGACAGGGAAGACTGGAGGGACAAGAGGGAGAGGAAGGAGCGTGTGTGTGGGGGGGAACAGAAGGGCAAGGTCTGGAATGCTGGTCAGGAGTAGGGAAACCACCCTAGGGACTCCACAGGGTCTGCCAGGGAAGGTCCCTAAGAAGGGGGGTCATCTTGGCAAAGGCATCGGCAGGGGAATACAATGGTCTGGGTAGGGGAAGCCAGGGCCCAGAGTCTAGGCAAGAAGGAAGGAAAGTGAGGCACAAATGGAGACATGGGCTTGGAGAGAGATACACAGCTGGGATATACCAGAGAAAGCCTTAGATTTAGAGTCAGATGAGCTGGATTAAAATCCTGACACTGACTGGGGGGAGAGGAGGGAATAGGCCATTATGTAGCACCTACTGTGTGCCAGGCATGATGCTCTGTGCTTTACAATGATCTCATTTGATCCTCACAACAACCCTGGCAGGAAGGTATTATTATTCTCCCCATTTTATAGTAAAGGAGACTGAGGAAAACAGAGATTAAATGACTTGCTCAGGGTCACACAGTTACTAAGTGTCCGAGGCTAGATTTGAACTCAGGTCTTCCTAACTTCAGGCCATATAAAAAATGCGCACCACCTAGAGGCCTCAGAACTAAATGTCTTACATTGGGCAAGACAATTCATCTCATTGGACCTCTTAATCCCCCCATTTTCTATAAAATCAGAGTCATTGAGATTGCTCCCAGCTCTGACATCCCCTGTTCTAAAGGTCCCTCCTAACTCTGACATTCCCTGTTCTCAGATCTGACATCCCCTGTTCTAAGGGCCCTCCCAGCTCTGACCTTCCCTGTTCTAAGGGCCCTCACAACTCCAATCTCCTAGATCAAGCTCTTCCATGAACACCCCCTCCCCGATCCCTAAAGGGCTTCACTCACTCTTGTCATAAACAGGGTCGGAGAGCACTGGCTCCAGCCTCCTGAGCTGGCCCTGGGCATCCCGGTAGGAGGCCAGGAAGCAGATCCTCACAACGTTCATGTCCACTTCCTGATGGTTCTTAAGGGAACCAGCTGGGGTGTGGGGAGCCAAGGGAAGAAAGTCATGAAGGGGAGATCTCTGTGCCCCCAACCCCACTTCCCTGACGGGAGACTCTAATGAGGAGGGAAGAAGGAAAGAAACCTGGAGGCTGAGGGGCCAGCAGGGAGAGGCTGGGTTAGGGGCTGAGACACAGGGGCCGGGAGGGTTTGGGGGAGGGCCCCCTCACCATTGTACGGGTCAATTCCGAGCTGAATCTTCCTTTCAATGGCAGCTTCAATCTCCCGCTTGCGGACACACTGAATCCCTAAATTGTTGAAGCTCCATTTTTGGGGGGGGGGGCGGAGTTGGGAAGTTACAGAATAGAGAGAGAGAAAAGTCACTATCTATCCTCTTTCCCATCTTACCCCTCCCTCTCCCCTGTTCCTCCCTACTTCCTAGGGGAGGGGGCCCCTGACTTTCCCTCATCTCTTTGGATAGGAAGGCACCTTCTCCTCTCCTCTCTTGCCTTCAATGGGATGTCAGAGGGCAAGTACCAGGACCCGTAGTGGGGTCAGAATTAGGGGTGGGACAACAGCCAACAGTGGGGTCCCTGGTCAAGATTCCTCATGGCCTTGTATAGAAAGAGAGGCCCTGAGTTTGAGAACCCCAGGCCTGGTCACTAGCCGTGTCTGTGAGTGCATTCCTTCCCCTCTCTGGCTGTCAAATGAAATGGGGAGGGGGTAGACTCAATGATCTGGAAGGATTCTTCTACCTGGGATGGTCTGCTCCGAACCCGAGACCCTCAGACCCTCCTGTCCCTGGGCTGAGAAGCAGCCTCAGACCCTAGAGTATCATAGAGTTGGAGGCTCTGGGGTCTCAAGTTCTAAATGATTTTAACACTGAATGAATAGACGAACAAGTGAAAAGACACCTATTGTGGAGCTACTGTGTGCCTGGCATTGGATTTTGCTTAATTGTTTGTAGTTGAGTGACTCAGCTCTGGACAAACAAACAGAGAAAAAAACAAGAGCCCTGCCCTCAGGAAGCTTACATTCTAATGGGGGAGACAAGCCCCAGAGAGGAGAGCTGATGGGTCAAGGAAGCAGGGCCTTAGCGGGATTGACGGATGCAGCCTTTCCAGGAATGGGAACATCCATCACAATATTTAACAATATTTAACAGCACATCGATGTCAGTAAGGTAAATGTAATCATTTCTATTCATTTCTAAGTATCAAAGGCGGTCACCTCAGGGACGAAGGGCAGACTCTCGGAGACAAGAAGCCGGGATCAGATCCCACTTTGGACTCTCACTAGCCTGGCGAGTCACTGTCGTCTGATGCTCTAGTCTCTTGTAAAATGAGAGGCCAGATTTCTATGGCCACTTCCAGCTGGCTATCTGATCCTGTGAAGTGCACTCTCCCCCACCCGCCACACACACCAAAGCCGTGTCTGTCCAGGGGTAGGTCCAGCTCTGCTAAGCACCTGGCACTCTATGACGCACGGGGTTTTGACCTCGTAAGGTTCAGAAGGCTTAGCGGGGATCATATCGGCTACCTGTGTCTCGGGCTGACGTGAGGCCGCAGCCGCACTCGGCAGACGCCGTCAGCACAGTCCTTGCCCACGAGGCCGTGGGGGTGAACGCGGTGGGGCCAATCCTTCCACACCAAGCAGGCTGTGACCTCCACCTCTCGGATGCCCCCGCAGTCCCGGAGCTGTGGGGCAGGGGGTGATGTGAAGTGCTCTGCTGCCAGGTGTGCCCGCCGGCCCCCCACGCCCTGACCCCCCCAGCACCCACCTCGATGGCCGGCAGGGTCTTGCTAGCCTCTGTGCTACTTTCTCCAAGGATGCTGCCGGCGGAGCGGCCCTCGCACTCATAGCGGAAGCGCATCCCCCGCTGCTTGGGCTGTTCCGTGATGACCAGGTGGGGCCGGGGGCCGGGCCAGGCTGGTGGGAGCGGGGGTGGGGGGGGTGGGCACCCCAGGGTCACAGTGCTCAAGGAGGCGGGGCCCCGAGGGACCAGCCGGAGGCCTCCCTCCCCAGACGAGGCCCGCTCCAGAGGGAAGCCATTCTCCTTAATGTATTCATCAATGATGTCTGGGGTCAGGTAACATCCGCAAGTCAGTCAGTCATCCACCTCTGAAGCCCCGGGCCTCCTTCTCCCCCGACCCCGCAAGGGTGGCCCTCCTTTCGTGTGTCCTTCCTGAGGTGACTGCCTACTCCTCCCAGAGGCCCCCACCGATCCTCCCCTGGGGGCCCCCCCACACTTACCCAACTCATCTGTAGGGGAAAGAGAGAGAGGAGAGAGAGAGAGAGAGAGAGAGAGAGAGAGAGAGAGGGAGAGAGAGAGAGAGATTAGAGTCCTGGGATCACTGGAAAGTGCTCGCCAGCTCTACCCCTGGACTCCCAGCAGATGATGTAATGGTAAAACTAGAAGGACCCACCCCCCCTTCCCCAATTCTATGCACCAGGGAGCTGAGGCCCATAAAAATAACTGCTATTAAATGCTCAGAGTTTGGCAAAGTGCCTCAGGCACTTTGTTATCCCATGTGAGCTTCTTCTTTCAGAGACAGGGGAGCAGATGCTCAGGGCCTTACGGACACACAGAGACAAGATCTCTCCTGACTTTGTCCCAAGCCTTTTACTAGCCCTCGTCACGCCCCTCCCCCAACTTAATTCCATTATCTTCACCCCAGACCCTCCCTCCTCCCATTCTCCACTCCCCCACCCCCATGTACACCTTAGGTGTCTTCCAGCCCATTTAACAGATGAGGAAACTGAGACGCAAAGCAGTAAAGTTAACTTGCCCAAGGTCACACAGGTAGTGAGTGGTTGGGGGTGGGATTTGAAGCTAGGTCCTCAGCCTCTGAGAGGGAAACTGGACCCCAGCTAGGCAAAGGGACTCATTCAGTCGAGATGTCAAGGTCACACAACTACTTTAGAGGTCAGTTTATATTTGACAGCTGAGGAAACTGAGGCCCAAGCTTGGGAAAAGGACTTGTCTAAGTCAACAAATCAAGACCGCAGCAAACCTCACATCTCTTAACACTCAAGGCTGGGGCCCCGTCCTCATTTTGGGAAATGAGGATCAGTCCTCAAATTCCATTTCCCCATCAACAGCTGCCAAGGCCCCAGGCCTAAAAGAGTCTAAAGAGACCCTTAACGACCTCCCCTCCTAGCCCTCTCTCCCCTCTCTGTTCTCTTAGCCTTCCTGAGTCCTTGGTTTCCCTTCTTCCTTTCCCCAGGTATCTCTGCCCTTTGGGGCCCCACCTATTCATGGACACTGCCACTCCCCTGCTCTGGGGACTCTCCTAGCCCCCCACGATAACTGGACCATGCAAGGGAAATGAGCCAGCTTATGAAGGGAGAGACAGAAGGGTAGAAAAAGAAAGCAGAGTGGAGGGATAGAGGAGGAGGAAGGGAGGCATCGAGCCTGAGGAGGGATCAGAGTTCTCATCCTGGTACCTTCCCAGGCCTGGAGAGGGGCTGGGGGTCAAAATACTATAGAGAATGTTAAGAGTTGGAAGGGACTCTGGATTCCATGCAGCCCAGGCCCCTCGATGTACAGATGGGGAAACTGAGATAATCCTTAGCCCCAGAGAGGGAGAGGCAGAAGGTCAGCCAGCTGGAGGCTGGATGGTAACCCAGTTCTCCAAACCAGGCCAGGCTGCTCCCTCCCCACAGAAGGGACTTTGGGCAGGGCAGGAGCATCAAAGGGGAATCCCAGTCTTTTCTCCTCCACCTCCCAGCTGGCCCAATGGCTACCTACAGGTACCTGCCCAGGGCCACAGCACTTCCTGGTTCTTCAGTGACCTTTCCCCTCCCCCACCCAGCTTGAGGCCAGGGGACTGTGTTTCCCTTCAATCAGAGAGACTGAGAAGGTAAATTCACTGCACTGCGACAAAAAATGAAACCTCAGAAGGTCAGGGCAGGGAGGGCCCTTAGAACTCAGAAGGTCAGGGCTGGGAGGGAATTTAGAACATGAAATGTCAGAGCTGGGACAGACCGTAGAATTACAGATCAGCTAAACTGGTAGGGGGAGGGTCCTTAGAGCACAGGATGTTAGAGCTGAGAGGAAGCAGGCTATGGTACAGACGGGAAAGACTTGGCGTGAGGCAGTGGGTCTGAGTTCAAATCCCAAGTCAGTCACTAACTACCTGTGTGACCTTGGGTAAGGTCCTCATCTGTTAAAATCGGCCTCTAAAGACCCTTCCAGCACTAAGCCTGTGAGGCTCTGACTCTGGGAGCACAATGTCGGAGCTAGCAGAGAAGTGAGAGATCATTTCAGAAATGAGGAAAACTGAGGTGCAAAGGAGTGCTCCGGGAGTCTGACAGTCAAGGAGCATTTACTGAGCACCTGTGGTGTGCCAGACACTGTGCTAAGTGCCAGAGGAAGGCCAGAGACAGAGCAGGGGAAGAGCCTGGTTTTACCCACCTGTGGTCCGAGAGGTGGGCAGAGTCAAGGCTGGGAGGTCAGTGGGGCCTAGGAAGGAGCAGATTCATGGAAGATTCTGGGCTCTACTTACTGTCTCAGAGTGGGGCATGGCCTCTGCCCCTCCTCCCCTCTATTCCCTAGGGTCATTCGTCCTTCTGCTTGGGATGTGGGGGGCCCCCTTTCCCTTTCCTTCTCCCTCCTTGCCTCAGTGCTCCCCCTCCCCTGATTCCTGCTGGCCCGGGGGCAGGGCATCTCTTTTCTCTCTCTCACCCCCTCTTCCCAGCTCTGCCAACTCCTCTCCCAGTACCTCCCCTTTGCTCCCCTGCTCCCATCCCTGTCCCTGTCCCCCTTTTCTCTGCCCTGGAAGAGGAGGGGTCTCCTTTAACTTCGCAGCTCCCTCTACCGGGACCCTTCCTATCTCTAGCTTGGGGAGGTCCCTTTCCCTTCTGGGCTCCCCTACTTCTGCCTTTTACTCTGCTCTTTCCCCTTCTCTTTCCTCCCCTTCCTCATATCTGTCTTCATGGGGTGTGTGGGGGTTGGGGTCTCCTTCTCCTCCCCAGCTCCTCTACCTTTCTCTTCTCCATCTCTGCCTCACCTGGGGGGTCCCCCCTTTCCCTCCCCTGGCCCCCCTGCTCTTTCTCCCTCTTCCCTCCTCTGTCTTTTTGGGAGTCCCCCTTTTTCCTCTTCTGTGTCTCCATTTCTGTTTCCCTCCCCTCATCCTCATCTCTGTTCCCCTGAGACGGTTCGTTTTCTCTCCCCTTCTTTCCGACTTCTATCCCTGTCTCTAAGACTGCCCTGCTCTCTCTTCTCCATCTCTGTTCCTTTGGGGCCTCCCTTCCCCCCTGCCTCCACTTCTGCCCCTCCCGATCTGCCCCCCTTAGCCGCTCTGCCCCCTCCCCTGAATTTCCCGATGTGACTCACTTAGCCTCTGGCCCCCACTTCTGCCCCCTCCCCTGAATTTCCCGATCTGTCTCCATTATCCTCTCTGCTCCCCACTTGTTTCCTCCCCTGACGCTGCTGATCTGTCCCCTCTTTTCCTCCCCGCCCCCACTTCTGACCCTTCCGATCTTCGTCCCACTGTCGGGGGCGGGGGGCTCTCACCCATAGCGGCCAGCACGGAGGCGGCGGCCGCGGCAGGGGCCGGGCGGGCCGGGCGGCAGCTCCTCCGCATGGCAGGGGCCCGGGGCCCAGGGCCGGGGGCGCGGTGCGCTCTGAGCCGGGCAGGCTCTCCGCGGGCCGCAGCAGAGCCAAGCTGGAGTCAGAGCGGGGCCGGGCCGGGCCGCGGGGGGGGGGGGGGGGGGGGCCGGGGGGGGGGGTGGGGGCGGTGCCGCGGAATTCCCCGGCGCCGCGCGGCCCGCCACCCTCATTGGCCTAGCCTGGACCGTGACGTCACGGCGGGTGGAGCGGGGAAACCCCCGCTCGCCACGTGACCTCATGCCGGCCGCCTGGGCCCGGGGGCGGGGCCAGCCGGGAAGGGGGGCGGAGCCTGGCCCTTGGGATCCCGGTGCTGGAGACCAACCCCCTCATTTTGAGGGGTAATTTGAACCCAGGTCCTACGACTCCTGAGCTGGAGCTCTTCCTTCTTTACTCTTGCTAGAGGAAGGGGAATTGGGGGGACGGGGGCAACGGAGACAGGTGGTCTCCAGGGAGATGGGAGCGAAAAAGTGTGGGGGCAGGCAAGGGCCCCCAAAGGATGGGACGGGAGGATACCTAGGATTCTGACGGGACATAGCGCGGAAGGAGCTCTGGAAGGGTCACGCTAGCCCAGGAACCAGGACCTCTTTGGCCGGGCAGGGCCGGAGATGGCCACAGCCCTTCCAGGAGAGGGGAACGGTGGGAGGACAATCCCGGCGCCCTGGCCCTAAGCAGGTTCCGCCCCTCGGCCCCCCCACCCCTCTGGAGGCATCCCTGTTGCCCAGGATGGGCCCAAGTTCGGAGTAAGTGACCCGGCGGGAAGGGACGGCCGTGCTAAAAGCCAGGACCAACGGGCGGGGTGGGGGTTCCAGGGAACTGTCCAGCAGCCCCAGGGCCCAGGGCGATGGGCACCAGCAGAAGGAGGACGTGCCCGGGCTTAAGTTAAACACCCATATGAATTTATTAAATCCAGAGTCTGTGTTGGGGGAGGAGGGACATGGGAAGGGATGAGAGATGGATCTGGGGGTCGGGAAGGAGAGCTCTGGGGCCTCAGCCCCCTCCCACCCCACCTCCCCGCCATGATGCGATGGCTTACAATGATTACAGATGGTGCTGGAACCCACATAGGGACAGACAGGCAGGGAGCGCCCTGCTCCCCGTCCCCAACACCAGCCTTCCCAACCCTCCTCTGCCTTCTCCCCCCACATCACAACAGGGGAGCGTTCCCCTGACCCCTGCCAGCTCCCTCCCTCCCTGTCTGTCCAGGGCAGGGGGGATGGGGTCACAGTGAGCTTGGGGGGGGACACAGGAAGAATGTTGGTGGCCAGGGAAACCAGGGGAAAGAGACTAATCCTTCTTCTTGTCCTCTGCCGGTTTGGGGGCTGGCCCTTGGTCCTGTCCAGGGAGGGGGCCATCCCCACTGGGGGCTGCTGGCGGCGTCAGGGCTGCCACAGCTGTCTGCACCTCCCCACTCATGCCAAACTCATTCACCCGTGTGGGATCCACCCGATAGATCCACCGCTGATAAAGGTAGATGAAGAAGACCACGTCTGGAAAAGCAGAGGAGAGAGACCAGTGAGGGGCCGAGCTGGTCAAGCTGCCCTCCCTCCACCCTCAGCCAGGACGGCCTCCTTAGGGGCCTGAGGCTCCTTGGCTGTCTCGAGACAGAACTTCATGAGCATCACGGAGATGGAAGGACCTTCGGAGGCCTTCCTCATTTTACACAGAAGGAACCTGAGGCCCAGAAAAGTAGCGTGAACGAGGTCACACCACTATTAAGTGACCAAGGCAGGATTTAGACCCAGGTCCTTGGCCATTGCCTGAGGTGGACCCCAGGCTCCCTGGGGGGAGGCCGCCCCCTGCAGAGGAGGGCCTTTGCCATTGTAGACAGCTCTTTAGACTTGCAACAGGTGTTTAGGAAATGTTTATCAAACTGAATTCCAGCTAAGACCTATATGTGACCAGAAATCCTGTTCCCTTGGGGGTCTTGGCTCCTCCTGGCTACCCACCCACCCTCCTGGACAGCCGACCCGTCTCTCTCTTCCTCCAACAGGACTCCCGTTAGTCCAAGGAGCTGCCATGGCCGCCTCGGGATCCCAGGGCCTGGCCCAGGGCTGCGCCCCCACCTTCCCCATCCCTCCAGGCCCTCCCAGGGTTGTGCCCCCACCGGCCCCAGGTGCTCACCATCCCGAAGGCAGCCGATCCGGTACATCACGGGCATCTTGATGACGAAGGCAAACAAGTCATCAATGAAGGTGTTGAGGGCTTTGTAAGTCAGCATGCGCCAGGGCAGGTGGGCCACCGACTTGAGCTTGTAATTGATAAAGAGCTGGGGCGTCATCGTGATGAAGCCTGGGGATGGATACAAAGGGGGCAGGTGAAAGCACAGTGGGGGGACTTGGGAAAGGGCCTCAGTTTCCTCATCTGGAGGATTCCTGGGTTAGACAAGACGGCCTCTGAGGGCCTTTCCAGATCTAAACAGGAGATTCTGTGACCTCAGAGGCCAACAAGGCCCATGTCTACATTTTACAGATGGAGAAACTGAGGCTGGGGCCAGTGTCTCGTCCAGCAGGCTGTATCAGGTAAGGGGTAAAACAGATTGTAGCAAGGGCTTCGGAACCCCTCCTCCGCCCCCACAAAGTGCTGTGCTTATCGCGCTGGGGGATGACATAGGGCTCGCTTGGTTGAGTGGTCAGAGGGTCTACACAAGGTCAGGAGGGACCCGCGGTCATCCCCATTCTCCCTTAACTGCAAGGCCTTTTCCCCATCCCTGGGTCCTTCCTCCAGCACGTTTCACCCCTCCAGCCTCTGATCTTGGGGGACCCCAAAACTTCCGAGCTGCAAATGGGAAAGTGTTTGGACCTAGGGCAGCGACTAGCAGCTGGCCTCCCGTGCCTGGTGCTGGTGGGGCCTCGGCCCTCCCACGCTTTGTCACCAGGCCCTTGGTCCTCAGATATCCCCCGGCGTGGGCAGGGCTGCCTGGGCCCAGCTTCCCCATGTGCACGTGTACAGACAGTGGCGGAGAAGTCAGGCCTTCTCAGAGCTGTTTGCTCTGCCTTGTGGACAAAAGGATGACAGGCCCCAGAGGCCAGAGGGTCCGCAGAGGTCATCGGGTCTGAGCCCAAGAAAGGCACGGGCCTGCCTGGAGCCCCCGGTAGGGTCGGCACAGCCCCAGGGTCTCTTCTTCCTACTCTGGTAGAAAGGCTGCTAACCCGTGCTGGCCGTGAGGGGGGGGATGGGGAGAGGAGGGGCAGGACGGGGCTGCCCACCACTCACCGAAGGTCAGCAGGAAGCCGTAGAGCATGCTGAGCACCCAGGAGTACCAGCCCTTGTGCTCCATGTACAGGAGGCTGTACACGGCATAGCAGCCCAGGAGGGGGAACAGGATCCAAGACAGGTACCTGAACGCCATCTGCAAAGGGGGCCTGTCCTCAGGGCCCCTCCTCTCCCACATCCACACTGCCTCCCTGGCTTTCTGGCCCTGCCCAAGGGACTTCCCAGGTAACACACAAGGACTTTGAGCTTCCTGGCATACACAGGCTGGAGGGGTGTATGTGCAGACACCCAAGTCTGCCCACGGGGGCACCCCCCCCTTCTGATTCCCGCAGGTCTTCCCACAGTCTCCGCCTCTCACAGCCCTCCTCCAGGGGAGCCCTCCAGACCAATCTCTTCCCCGACATCCCTCGGGGTCCAGGGCCTGCCTCTCTCCACCCTCCTGCTCCTCCTCCTGGCCCCCAAGCCGCTCTTCACCACAGGGCCCTGTACCCCACACTCACGTCATCATAAACTTTGGTGGATGACTCTATGTATGTGGACTTATCCTTGAAGGTCAGGCGGGGAAAGACACCAGCCACCTTGTTCTCTCGGTCCAGCTAGAGAGGAGGGAAAGAGGAGTGAACAGAGTGGGGGGTGGGGCTCTCCTCTCTGAGGACCAGGCCCAATGCCCCTCTGTTTCCCATACCCCAAGGAGCTCCTCTGGTACCAAAAAACCCCCAATACAAATTCCCCAATCCTTGGGGAGGGGGCGGTGTATGGTTCTGGAAACTCCCTGGTCCTACACTGGGGGCTGGGAGTCAGGGGAGGGGTGTCTGGGAGTTGGGGTCTGAGAGTCGGAGGGTGTGTCTGGGAGTTGGGGTCTGAGCTCCCCCCAGGGGGGCTGGGAGCTGGGGGGGGGGGTATCTGAGCTCTCCCCAGTGGGGGTGGGAGTCAGGAGAGGGGTGTCTGGGAGTTCGGGTGTGAGAGTTGGGGGGTGTCTGGGA